TAGTTTACTGTACGTACAGTAAAGGTCGTTATGGCAAAATTTCACCTGTACAGTCAGTCTGGAGCTAAAATACACAAAGGGGTTTTGAATTATTATTATTTTTTTATATCAATATACAATGGTTGCATTTTGTAAAAATTAATAGTGGCATTGATATCTTTGTAGGAATGTCGACTGAATATCGAACCTAAAACTTTACGGCGCTAACTAAGCATCACTGAAACATGTGTCCTTAGCTTAAAAAAAATGTGTCAGTTTTGATAAATAAAAAATCCAACGGCACAACACTAAGCACTGAAATATAGGAAAAAATATAGAAAGGGATAACGTTTAAACATCGTCAGAGTTGGTATTGTGGCTTGATCAGACACTTAACATTAAATGGAGTTGGTTTTTGACCAGCGAATGACGGAGATCTGTTTAGGCTGTATCTGAGGCAGCAAGTGCATCGCACTAAACACTTTCATCAACTTACAGGTTATAACTTTATTGTAGCTATATGGGTGCTATAGTTTTTCTTGTCGTTTAATACACTTGACCAAAATATCATGCCATTATTTATGCCATTATTGTTTTTGTTAATACAGCATATAGCACTAGTCAACTAAATGAATGTAACATGGCAAAGATGAATGCACTTTTGGAAGTTGAATGTAAGGGAAATGTCATTTTGGAATTTCTGTGGTTTAATGTGATATTGTTGTTCATTTAGGGTGAATTCGGGTAATCTGGGACATTTTTTGCAATTTTGATTTCGATATCTATCTAACACATTAGAATCAACACATTAGACTTTTCTGAAATCCCTAAGATGTTTTCTAACCACACCAGAAGAAAGAATGTTGATATTATACCCAGAGGAGACATGCCTCACCTATTAGTGTTTTTTGTGCCAAAAACAAAAAACTGCTTGAATTTCATAATCTGGGACATATGTATTAGGCCTAAAAAAGCCTATATACTCACCATACTTTATGCATGCCAAACACAATATCACCCATTTTTAAAAAGCTTTATGAAAAAAATGACAAGTACAGAAATCTCAATAAGGAAATGTATATTTCAATATCAGGAAAAATAATTTCTTTCTGTACACAGGAATGTAACATGGCAAAGATGAACGCACTTTTGGAAGTTGAATGTAAGGGAAATGTCATTTTGGAATTTCTGTGGTTTAATGTGATATTGTTGTTCATGTAGGCCTATGTTCATGATGAAATTTTCTTTTATTGTTTTAATTAATTTATAGCATTAACAAGATGACCCGTTGAATTCATTTTGGGAGCGATGACTGATTGAATGTATTTTTAGTCCAGTGCCTGCATTTAAGATTAGTATTGACCAAGATCAGAGGCTGTCATATGTGGATCAACTGTGATGTTGTGTATTTTCAACAGTTTCAATATGAAAAATAACTTTTATATTGATTCAATGGATTTATTGCATTTTGAAGAAAAAAAAGTATCATGGATTTATTGCATTTTGGGGAAAAAATTACATTTTATAATAAATCTTTGAAAATCAAAATCTGGATTTGACTTTTTAATGTTATTATAACCTAAAGATGCTATGTGAAAGTTTGAAACAGAAAATAATGGTTTTCATCTTGCCACTTTCTTATAGCGTTTTGGAACCAAACTCTTCATTTATTTGTTGAAAGCCAAGCTTCTAAAAAGTCGTGGTGTGCACTAGGCAGTCACTGTGTCCCAGACACCAATATTTTAACGATTCATAAAATATCAATCACAGTCAGGCCAAATGAGATTTTACTTTGGAGATAAAGTTTAGAATCGTGATTTCTGGAAGCATTACAGCACACCATGTGTGTATTAGCACTATTTATGTTGTTTGCTTTTGGAATCTGATAAAGTGATTGGACCCAAAAATGGTGGACTTAAGCAGATTAGGAAGCGACAACAATGCAATGATTCAATTAATTCCCCATGGATAAGTCCCACCGTACATTATTTTTTTTCTCTCATTGGAGAAGCTACATTGCTCTGATATGAGTCACAAGAAGGAAAAAATGCAATCACAAATTCTGTTTCCAACCAAATTTAAAATCATTTTAGTTTGTTACAAAAGATTCCTTCAAACTAAGATAGATTTCTACATTACGCCATATACATGTCCATAAATGTTATATTGGGTAGGGTCTTTACTAACATGTAAAAATGTTTTTGTGACCTTGCTGTTTTGGATCAAATCCAGAGATCAACATTTTTGTCTTGGTATCTGTTTGTATATTAACTGCCATTACTTCATCCCACTGATGGCCATAGACAGGGCAGATGAGTGGAAAAGTCATGTGACTGCAAAAGATTTATATTAGTTTTAAGGAATAAAAGGCTTGCCATATTTCATTCTTCCATGCACTTTTTTTCACAACAACAATTTAAAATGCCACTACAGCCACTTAAATATGGTGCAAAATAAAACAGAATTTTTGCATCAAACATGCCTTTGTGTCTATTCCCTAATATAGCACAATGCAATATCCCGTAAGTCGGCCACCTTATTATGGTTTTCATCTTGCCACTTTCTTATAGCGTTTTGGAACCAAACTCTTCATTTATTCGTTGAAAGCCAAGCTTCTAAAAAGTCGTGGTGTGCGCTAGGCAGTCACTGTGTCCCAGACACCAATATTTTAACGATTCATAAAATATCACAGTCAGGCCAAATGAGATTTTACTTTGGAGATAAAGTTTAGAATCGTGATTTCTGGAAGCATTACAGCACACCATGTGTGTATTAGCACTATTTATGTTGTTTGCTTTTGGAATCTGATAAAGTGACTGGACCCAAAAATGGTGGACTTAAGCAGATTAGGAAGCGACAACAATAATTCCCCATGGATAAGTCCCACCGTACATTATTTTTTTTCTCTCATTGGAGAAGCTACATTGCTCTGATATGAGTCACAAGAAGGAAAAAATGCAATCACAAATTCTGTTTCCAACCAAATTTAAAATCATTTTAGTTTGTTACAAAAGATTCCTTCAAACTAAGATAGATTTCTACATTACGCCATATACATGTCCATAAATGTTATATTGGGTAGGGTCTTTACTAACATGTAAAAATGTTTTTGTGACCTTGCTGTTTTGGATCAAATCCAGAGATCAACATTTTTGTCTTGGTATCTGTTTGTATATTAACTGCCATTACTTCATCCCACTGATGGCCATAGACAGGGCAGATGAGTGGAAAAGTCATGTGACTGCAAAAGATTTATATTAGTTTTAAGGAATAAAAGGCTTGCCATATTTCATTCTTCCATGCACTTTTTTTCACAACAACAATTTAAAATGCCACTACAGCCACTTAAATATGGTGCAAAATAAAACAGAATTTTTGCATCAAACATGCCTTTGTGTCTATTCCCTAATATAGGTTTGTATATTAACTGCCATTACTTCATCCCACTGATGGCCATAGACAGGGCAGATGAGTGGAAAAGTCATGTGACTGCAAAAGATTTATATTAGTTTTAAGGAATAAAAGGCTTGCCATATTTCATTCTTCCATGCACTTTTTTTCTTCCAATTGCACTGATGTATATACAACAATTTAAAATGCCACTACAGCCACTTAAATATGGTGCAAAATAAAACAGAATTTTTGCATCAAACATGCCTTTGTGTCTATTCCCTAATATAGCACAATGCAATATCCCGTAAGTCGGCCACCTTATTACCATGAAAAAAAGATGTTGATGTTCATTGTTCGTCTGTCCTAACCTGCTCAATAAATCCTTAAAGAATGTTGTAATATATTCCACACCAATTTCTTGTAAACATCAGCTGGTTGCATAAGAGATCCAAACTGTGAGTAAACCTCCTGCCAGATTTCATATTCATGTAAACATGTTCAGCATGTGTTACAATCTCTAGCTGTATAACGTATATATGTGCAATGTGAATTATGCAATGCACACTAAAAGAACAAATGAAGTCCAGTACATCAACAGTACATGAAGTCATCTGCACTGTTCTGAACTGCATTAGTCACTGTCAGCACAGAAAACGTCCGCAATTGGATGCTGCTTCTGTTCCATAAAGCAAAACTCTGTACCACGGAAGACATGGTTTACCATTTAAAAAAAACTGAACTAGATAGCGACAGCCTAATCTGAGCTGGCTTTAGGCTCAAAATACGGGTGTTTATTAGTACCTGGCATCATAATCCAACTAGAGCTTTGTTATTCTATAAGCAAAGCAAATCATGATAGATGAAAATGCATTCACATGTCATTCTATATCTGTTCTAAAGTGATTCAAAATAATACACAATGTCAATGCCAAAATGACGATGATGGGAGTAAAAAGTTGTTCAGACTTCTAACTTTGAATTGTGGGAAATGACTGATCTGTTTTTTGTTAACTTAACAAGCTTCAATTGTCACAAAATAGTTAAGTGTGCTATACACAGATCAGTTTCATTTCAGAAACTGGTGCAATAACACCCTGCCAGTTTAGAGGGTCAGTCGGTGTGATGGAAACTGGTACTAGCCAGCAGAAGGTGGATAATGTCAAGTCTCTGTTTGACTACCACTGTTGCCATTCCACAGCTCCGGGGGACTGACGGATCAGAATGCACACACTGCATGTCCTTTCAACACAACATAGAAAATGCTATATTTCCTTTTTAACCTGTACAACTTCAAATCATAGGTTCTAAACAGTAAAAAAAAAAAAAAAAAAAAAATTTTTTTGGGGGGAAAAGGTTTAAAAAAAAAAAAAAAAAAAAAAAAAAAAATTTGTTTGAGGGCAAAAAACAGGAAACGGAAATGAAATTCTACATCCAATTCACAGAATCCTTCAAAGATTTGTGTGAACACGAGGCAGGGCTTCCACATACCAGTTTGACAGACTATGTGGCTCTGAAGAGCAATACGTTAGCGCAAACACCACATGCCCACCATCTTACAAGGAGGCTAATGGGGGCTAACACCATTGGAAAATGGCTCATTAATTGCTATTTTGGGCTGTAACAAGGACTGAAACGTATTAGCATTTTTTATTCAAAGAAAATAGAAAGGTTTACAATAGCAAGATCTTTTATCTTTTCAATCAGACACCACCTGCATTACAACAAACAAGCTATAAACAATTATATATCTTTTTGAAATCTTAATTTACATGACACTGCATCCAAACAGTTCATTTCATTTTTATAAAATTATAAAATCATCTTTATATATGTACATACAAACACGTGGATGTAAAAATGCACAGCTCTTGCATTTAAGAGAACGATTCATTCATTCCATCGCTGATAGAGTGGCGCATGCCAGCACTGCTAGCAAAAGAGAAACCCATTCTTGATATAAATTACCTTAACTGTTCGGTCAGAAGATGAGGTGATCAAGTCCTGGGGTCAGATCTGCCGTAAATGGCACAAAGAAACGAATTAAGACAGCGGACAGGGCCAGAGGACAGGCTCTGGGTATCTGCATGGCAGCGGTGAGCGAGTGAAGCTTATTTCTTAAAACACAGGCACTTGGGTATATCGGTCTGAATCGCTGCTGTCCCGGATCAAGTCTATGCGGAGAGCGAGCTCCTTGAAGGGTGGCCGAAGGCTAGGATCGTTGTCCCAGCATTCCTGCATGATCTCGCACATCTAAAAGAATTCAGAAAGGGAATATTTTACAATTTGCTGCGTTGAAATTGCCAGACGCTTCATGCAATTGTACAATTCCGTTCAAAAATTTAAAAAAAAGTTTTTGCAAAAAAAAAATCAGTATAACATTAATATTTGTGAAACATCACTTATAATTTAAAAGAATGGTTTTCTGTTTGAATATATGTTAAAGTGCCCCTATTATGCCATTTTTAAGGTTGCTAATATTGTTTTATGAGTCTCCTAAAACAGGTTTACATGCATGCAAGGTCAAAAAACACGTTAGTTTTCTCAAAAAATAGATTTCATTTGACCTAATTTCTAAACGATTCGTAAACGACTCGTGCGAAGCAGTTCAAAGAATCAAGCTCTCTAAACCCCTCCTTTCCGTGAGCCCTCACTGCTGTGATTGGTCAGATGGCGCAGTCCTTTGTGATTGGTCCAGAGCCGTAGAGAGGTTGGCTCTGGATAGGTCTACCGCGTACAGCGTGTGTCGGAAACGAAACGCCCATTGCCATGACGGAACTACAGCCCTGGAGACTTGTCAATACATAGAAAAGATGGTATCGATTGTACCTTACCAATTCGAGCCGGAGTCTGATGATGAAACGGTTGAAGTGGCTGATCGACAAGAGACTGATTCGCAAGCAGGACTGGAGCAGGACGTTTCTCAGTGGTAAGTGTCAAGTGTTAACAAGTTTGTTGTGATTATAAGATGTGATAAAACAAATGTACTCTCACAGTCTTCTCAACATGATGCTAACCACACAGAAATGTTACTCTTTATGGGCGGGCAAGTTGGCGACGCAGAACGTGGGCAGACATTATGCGAATGTGTTACTTCGTGACGTAGAGCCGTAACAGAATAAGATTCAAATTCCTGACGACTCGTTCAGGTGATTGCGAGCGGACTCTTTTTTTTGATAGACAATAACTTTATTTATCGTGCACTGTCAGCTTCACAACTTTGCAGGTAGTTTATGTTCACATACAGCTACATGACACACTGCATAAAAGGTAATATTCGAAAAGACATAATAGGGGCACTTTAAAAAGTAATTTATTCCTGTGTCAGCAGCCATTACTCATTCAGAAATCACATATCATAATGTTTTTATTCAGCACTCAAGAAACATTTCTTATTATCAGTGTAGAATAGAAAGTTCAAAAGAACAGCATTTACTTGAAAGAAATCTTTTTTATCCCCCCACCCCCGTTTTTCAAAATTTTAGCAGGATTGAATTTGTGCAATATTATTTATGGGGTATAAATGTCAAATGTCTACAGATTATTAATAGCATTTTTTCACTATATATTTGCTTTATGTTTGTGAATAACTCTTATGAGGACTGTACATTAGAAGTCAGGATCTTAACCTGATTAAGCTGACATTGTGTTGTGAGATGTGGTACCTCTGAAGGACAGCCCATAGGCTGAGGTAAACGGTTTCCTCTTTTCAAGAGCTCAACGAGATGATAGACTATTGTTTGTCCCTGCTTGTCACCTCCCATCATACTCAGAAATACCTGAAGACAACAAAACAGAGATTCCTCAGAGAATTTCCACAACGTTTCGTTGACAGATTCTTTGGACATGCTCTGTGTGATTTACATAGCCAAAACAATTCAAATCAAGCAACTGTTAAAGGTTGCCCTTATGACATGTGCAAGGAAATCACATATGCAGAAAAAAAACAAGAAACTTACTGTAGGTGGGCTACTTAGCTTGTCACTGTATGTAAAGAGTTCGTACAGAACCACTCCAAAACTCCAGATGTCTGACGCTACTGAGAACTTGCTCTCAGTCAAAGACTCGGGTGCATACCTGTCACAATGAACAACAGTTCAACTACCTAACGAACACAACAAACACATCACAAGCACAACTTTCTTCTGTGAACCGTTCTGTTTCACAGAAGCATGAAAGTCATATGGGTTTGAATGAAAACTAACAAAACAAAATGTACCAGAATATTGGACTCTCTCCAGGTTCTTTAACCTTGTAGTACTCTTTGCCCTGAGGTAAAACCTTGGTCAAGCCAAAGTCACCAATCTTCACCTTGAACTCACTCTCCACTAGGATGTTACGTGTGGCCAGGTCTCTGTGAATGTACCGCTTTGTCGCAAGGTATTCCATGCCCTGTAGAGACATTACAGCAGACGTGACATTTTAGAAGATTGGGAAGAAGAAAATGCAAAAAAAGAAAAGACATGCAAGTTTGAACAATAAAAACATGTTTGAAATGAAGAGAAAGAAAGAAGAGGCTTACAGGCCAAAATTAGTAGAGACGCAAGTTATTACTACTATATGAGAGTTGTTGTCAACCTTAGAGTCCACAACAATATTCAAAGACCCCATGACTTTTCTAATTGTTTGTGATTTACTGGATTAGGATAAAAAGTATTTCTATCTGAAAATATTTTAGAGCTTGGCATAATTATAAAAAAGCTCATGGAGTCTTTAGAAATTTAGAAATCACACTTTTAATATGAGTCTTAGTTTTCCAAGAAAGTGGGAATGCTGGTCCTTCCAAGAAAAAACAAAATGGTTGCCGACGGTGAATAAAAATAAAAATATCTGAAATGGTTTTATCTTAATTCAAAGCTTATTTTGTCTTATTTGAAATCATTTTAAGTCATCTTGAGGCCCCGGGTTGAGAACAACTGATGTAAGAGTAAAAGTCCTCATTACCTTGCATATTTGAGATGCATAATGCAGAAGTTTCTTGTGGTCAATCCTGTCTCTGTTCTTGTTGAGATAGTCCCGTAGACTGCCGTGAGGCAGGTACTCCATAACCAATCGTAAGTTTCTCCTTCCTAAGAGAACAAGAAATCATGCTAAAGCTTACAATAATCCAAAATTAAGACAAAAGCGGAGATCTATTTAATTTCTTCAATAAAAAAAGCTTTGGCTAGATGGACTTTCACATTTTCTGTACTGAGTGTGGGAGAAAATGATGCACTCGATTGGGGCACTTTCATACTAGAACTTCTGCTGTGGACCCAAGACCATTTGAGACAAGAGTCTGGTTTGTTTAGTGAAATTGCAGTCGATTGCAAGAAAAGGGCGGCGTTTTAGTGTAGTAATTTCTAAATCTTTAAAAAAAAATGAAGCATATAGTACATGGATGAAATGTTCGCAATAAGATCCCAAGACCATTTGAGACAAGAGTCTGGTTTGTTTAGTGAAATTGCAGTCGATTGCAAGAAAAGGGCGGCGTTTTAGTGTAGTAATTTCTAAATCTTTAAAAAAAATGAAGCATATAGTACATGGATGAAATGTTCGCAATAAGATCAATACCATGCATTTAGACAATGTTTATGCTTTAATATGTTTGAACTGCACTGCAAATTTTCATATTAACAAACGTAATTACACTGTAGTCCTTTATAAATGCAGTTATTGTTCTGGTCAGTTGAGAGACTGATGTCAAGGGTTTCAACACCATAAGCATAAACTTAAAGCTGCAAACCATTATCCAAAATCAATTATTGAGCAAGTACATAACCAATCAGTGTTCAAAACGATAGGTTACTTGTGTAACCGTGGTTCTCTGATAGCATTAAGTGAGGTGTCTCACTATGGGATACGCCCCTTATGCGTGTAAGGTCCACGCACTTGGCCCAATGAAGGTATCCAGTGGTGGATGAAGGTTTCTTGTGTGTTCATTCTTTTCAGCGCGCAGTTATTCAATTTAGGTTTAACTCAAATCTGACTCCATTTTAGTATCTAATCTGACTCCATTTTAGTATGACCTCGAATTTAGGTTGAAAGGCAAATTGGTTGTTTGTCGGTCTCTAATTATTCTGACATTTGATTATTCTAGTTAACTCTTTACTTATATTTACTTGTTCATTAGGAATCTATGTCGCTTAGGATGCCTCATGGTGGCCACTATGCATGGGCTCCACGATCACAAACTCGCCAGTCTGATCCTTAGCCAGAGGTTTGTGGCTAATACTATTTAACATGCTTTAAATAGTAGGTCTGTTTAGCCCCCTACAGTTACCCATGTAATACTCAAACATTAATCAGCGGTTCTGCTAGACCCTTTGTCTAGCCCCCAATAGTTAATATAACTACGTACAACTTAATTAAAGCTGAAATCATATACATGGTTATCGTAACTGAGTACAAATTAAATTAAGGTCAAGCGGTTAGTCAGAAACCCATAATCTCACCTGATGCGCCCCATGCTTCATCTAACCTGAGATCTAGTATGCACGTGGTCGCAGATTTGCGGAAACATACGCCTTCACTTAATCTAATTGAGGAAATAATTTCAGAGTATGTCAGAATAGATCAAATGTAACAATTTATTATCAGTCAGGTAAATATGTATTATGCCAATTATCTCCATAGCCAATTCAAAAATATCAAATCAATACAAGACATCAAATTCTCAGACAAATCTAAGAGTAAAGGATTCATACCTGACTTTAGGAAAATACATAGTATTGAGTGTGTGGACACATTCCATACTACGGGCCCTTTTGCTACATTCCTTTAAATACAAAACCAAGATAAAACATCCCCCAAATGGAGGCATGTACAAACAATTGGAATTTACATTAACCCAGGTCCCAGACCTGGGTGGTTTGCACCTCAATGGGAACAGAAGGTAATTTGCATGGAATGACCCTCTACAGTAATCAAAGCATCTCTTAACTCTTAGGATCTGTATTATCTTTTAGTCTACTTTTGTAAGATTAAGACCATTGTACCACTCGCCCTGAGACTATTCAAATGACACCAAACATGACTGTAAATCTTATTTGCATTCATATAGAACATTATACTATTGACCATTCTGAGTGAATCCAGTGGAGGGAGCAGATGAAAAGGCACTGATGCACATATGAGAGAGGCGTTTCCTGCACCACCCCTCTGTGGGGTGTCTTGAAGATGCCAGTGTATTGTCTGTTTCTCAGGAGATCAAAGTATCTGAGTTTCTTTTATCCTTACATGCGTATTCCTCAGAAGCCCAATTACATTACGCCAGCCCCAGTTAGCTGGCAGACATGACGTTGTGTCAGGGAGTGGCTCTCTCCTCTTGGTATAAAAGGAGCAATGCAACGTCATTACGATATTCAAAATGAGCACACCTCTACTTTGCTTCGCACAGCAAGGAGGGTGTTCTGATGAGACACCTCACTTAATGCTATCAGAGAACCAGGGTTATGCAAGTAACCTATCATTCTATTTCAAGCATACTTTTTGGTGTCTCACTATGGGATATCCTAGCTCCCTTCTCAATATTAGCAATATGGCTGCCCACTGCTCCGGGTGTGTTTTCACTACTGTATGTGTGCACTTGGATGGGTTAAATGCAGGAGCACAAATTTCGAGTATGGGTCACCATACTTGACCACACTTCACTCACTTCACACTCACTCAACCGTCTATATATCCTGAATACCACTAGTTTAATTCCTTGTTGCTTGTCTGGACTCAAACCAAGCAACTGAACTAAGTGTGAAAACAACCTTAAATAGACTTGTTCATAATTTCCAATATAACAAAATCTTTTTGAAATGACATTTATTGGAAGCTCTAAAATGCAAAAGTGTGTAAAAAAAAAAAAAGTTGTCTGTCATCCAAATTCTGTGGAAATGTGTGAGCGTAATGACAAGGTTTCTCAACACAACTTCCAATCCCATACCTGCACTGTAGCACACGCCTTTGTATTTCACAATGTTCTCATGCTGGAGAGATTTGAGGATCTCGATTTCCCGCTCAAAGTCACGGATGTGCTCAGTAGAGCTGTGCTGCAATTTTTTCACTGCCACAACCTCACCGGTGTTGTCCTGCAGGGGGTCGTACCTGCACATTTCCACACTGCCAAAATTTCCCTGAAACAGGAGATAATTACTGTGATTAGTTGATTAGCACACATCTTTATTTGTACTATTTTCCACATACTTAATAAAATAATTAACTGTGGTAATGGAGATTATGAACACTACGTTTATAGCTTAACTTCTTGCTCTCCTTTAAGCATTAAAGTAATATGAAGCAAATTGACAATTCACATACACAACCATTCAAAAGTTTTTTCAAGGTTTTTGAAAGTCTCTTAAGCTCACCAAGGCTTTATTTGATCATAATGACAGTAAAAGCAGTAATATTGTAAAATATTAAAAATATTAAAAACGGTTTTCTATTTTCATATTGAAAAATGTAATTTATTCTTGTGATGGCAAAGCTACATTTTCAGCAGCCATTACTGCAGTATTCTTAGTGCTCAAGAAACATTTATTATTATTAACAATGCAGAGATCAGTGATGCTGCTTAATATTTTTGTAGAAACTGTGACACAGGATTCCTTGATCAATATAAAGCTCAAAAGAACAGCATTTACTTGAAATATAAATCTTTTGAAACATTAGAAATGTCTTTGTTGTCACTTTTGGACAATTTAATGCATCCTTGCTGAATACAATTAAATTCTGTCAAGAAAAATACAAATAAAAAACATACAGAAACTATTGAACATAGGTTATATACAAAATAATAAAATAAAAAAGTGATCCCACAGGGTTGTTGGTGTCTACCTTGCCAAGCTGCTGCAGGAAAATGAGATGTCTCTCCTCGAACTGCACTAGATCCTCATTCTGAAATGCTCCAGTACTCAACGCAGATGATCCTGCTCTACTGGGTAAAATGTCGCTCTCCTTCACAATCTCATAATCTGCAAACACATTTCATCACTCAACATTATGCAGCAAGTCCAAGAGAAACAACACAATTAAATTGTGACATGTCAAAATGCCAGCGGGATTGCGTGTATTATAGAGTGACTGTACTGACCTGGGCAAAAGAGACTGTTGAGGTCTCGTATGATGGCTCTGAATGAAGGTCTGAATGTTGGCTCGTAGTCCATGCAGCTGTTGATCAGGTTAGCCAGCTCTGTCCACTTGGGAGCAGATAGCTGGTGACGATTTTCATAGAACAAATGCTTTATTATTATTAACAATGCAGAGATCAGTGATGCTGCTTAATATTTTTGTAGAAACTGTGACACAGGATTCCTTGATCAATATAAAGCTCAAAAGAACAGCATTTATTTGAAATATAAATCTTTTGAAACATTAGAAATGTCTTTGTTGTCACTTTTGGACAATTTAATGCATCCTTGCTGAATACAATTAAATTCTGTCAAGAAAAATACAAATAAAAAACATACAGAAACTATTGAACATAGGTTATATACAAAATAATAAAATAAAAAAAGTGATCCCACAGGGTTGTTGGTGTCTACCTTGCCAAGCTGCTGCAGGAAAATGAGATGTCTCTCCTCGAACTGCACTAGATCCTCATTCTGAAATGCTCCAGTACTCAACGCAGATGATCCTGCTCTACTGGGTAAAATGTCGCTCTCCTTCACAATCTCATAATCTGCAAACACATTTCATCACTCAACATTATGCAGCAAGTCCAAGAGAAACAACACAATTAAATTGTGACATGTCAAAATGCCAGCGGGATTGCGTGTATTATAGAGTGACTGTACTGACCTGGGCAAAAGAGACTGTTGAGGTCTCGTATGATGGCTCTGAATGAAGGTCTGAATGTTGGCTCGTAGTCCATGCAGCTGTTGATCAGGTTAGCCAGCTCTGTCCACTTGGGAGCAGATAGCTGGTGACGATTTTCATAGAACAAATGCTTCTGAATAGAGGAATACAAAGATGGTGTACTTTGAGAGGTCCGGCTTATTCTTTTAACAGCACTTCTTACTACAAACAGGTTTTTCTGATTTATATTTATTGTATTAGTATACTGAGGACACAAGTGTTGCTTTACCTTGGAACTGTCCATGTTGGCAAGTGGTTTTTCTCCTCCGCTGCAAATCTCCCATAAAGTTGTACCAAAGCTCCATTTGTCTGAGGCAAGACTCAGGCTTTTAGGGTCTAAGATGCATTCAGGGGGCACCCAGGGGATCCGCTCCACCAGAACTACAAAAATATTTGCAATTCATTTAAAATGACATTTTGAATGCAAACATTTTGATCAAATGTGAATATGAATTATCTATTACCTAATGAGACCACTGGTCGGCATAAATATGAACAATTTTAAACTATCAGCATGGGGAAAATAAATTCTCCCATTTGGCCTCGTTCCTTTCTTTAATTCAGTTTTAGGGCACAATTTGAATAAATGTGTTAAAGTTTATATAATGTGGTAAATTTAATTTAGCAAATAAAATGTACCATGTTTATTTAAATGTTATTTGCATTCATTAAATTATGTGGTGATATAAAAGTTGTCATAATATTGGGCATTGGACACCCACATTGGTTGACCATTACATGTAATAGAATACATTTGGACCATATTAACAACAAATTTTCAAGGGAAAGTTCACATCAAAATTTAATCAACCTCATGTTGTTTCACTCAAACCTGTATGACTTTTTCTTCTGTGGATTTTTTTTTTGTCCATACAATGAAATTCACTGGGGTTCAGTGTTGTTTTGGACCTCAATAATTGTCACTGAGTGGACAAATACATTGTGTGGAGTTAAAACATTCTACAAAATATTTTAATTTCTATTTCATATAAACAATGTCATACAGAACTTGGTGCAACAAGAGGGTGAGTGCATGACCAAACCATCCCTTTAATAATACACTGCAAACAGGAACAATTTTATTTGAAAATATGCCCTCTACTGGTTAGTGTGCAAACATGTTTATGCTAAACCAGTTTTAGCATTGACAGTCTACATCATAGTATCTTGAAAAGTATTTTGTTTTGTTGCTTAATTTGAATTTCTCTTGTTATTTACCTCGAATTACATTAATTTGTTTTGAAATACATTCATTTTTTACTACATTTTTCAGTCTGAGGTAATAGCAATTAGCAATTATTTTCATTAAGCACACACACACACACAGACGTTTGTTTCACTGTAGTGAGAACATTGCATGGACTTCCATTGATTTTATACCAGGTTAATGATACTTTCCATCCCCTAACCAAACCCCTACCTCTAATCCTACCATTCTGTCATCACTTAATCAACCTCATGTTGTTTCACTCAAACCCGTATGACTTTTTCTTCTGTGGATTTTTTTTTTGTCCATACAATGAAATTCACTGGGGTTCAGTGTTGTTTTGGACCTCAATAATTGTCACTGAGTGGACAAATACATTGTGTGGAGTTAAAACATTCTACAAAATATTTTTATTTCTATTTCATATAAACAATGTCATACAGAACTTGGTGCAACAAGAGGGTGAGTGCATGACCAAACCATCCCTTTAATAATGCACTGCAAACAGGAACAATTTTATTTGAAAATATGCCCTCTACTGGTTAGTGTGCAAACATGTTTATGCTAAACCAGTTTTAGCATTGACAGTCTACATCATAGTATCTTGAAAAGTATTTTGTTTTGTTGCTTAATTTGAATTTCTCTTGTTATTTACCTCGAATTACATTAATTTGTTTTGAAATACATTCATTTTTTACTACCATTTTTCAGTCTGAGGTAATAGCAATTAGCAATTATTTTCATTAAGCACACACACACACACAGACGTTTGTTTCACTGTAGTGAGAACATTGCATGGACTTCCATTGATTTTATACCAGGTTAATGATACTTTCCATCCCCTAACCAAACCCCTACCTCTAATCCTACCCTCACAGGAACATATGCAAAACACTAGATTTAAATAAAAACATGTTAGTCTGATTTATAAGCCTTTTTAACTAGTGAGTACCAGTAAAATGTCCTCACTAGTGTACGGTCATATTATTTCACTATAGGATATTCAGCCCTCAAAAGTATAGTTAAACAAGTACACACAAACACACACCTTCTTATCAGAACATGGTCTAATCCGATTACATTCTTATACTGAAAAAAACTAAAGCAAAAAGCTGCCTTTTCACTATCTCTGACAATCAACAGACTGGAAGTCATTGATTTGTAATGGACAATACCATGGGAGCTGCGTGGAGTTCTGTTTATATGCACATGCAAAATGTTTGGATCTGATTTGAGTTTCGGATACATTGAAATATTTGCATAACTGCATAACATATTTAAACTGCATGTGACCGCCAGAGATTAGTGATGAACAATTTGAGCATTTCCACAATTTTTTCCATTAAATTGCTACACTTTTTCTATCAAACGTGTGGATATTAAAATTTATGTTCAAAATAATTATTTTATAATTGCCAATTAATTACATTGATTAGCATTAGAAAATCTACAATGTTTTTATTTCAGACGTATTGGCAGCCATTTGTTTTGTGTGGATATACTCCTTCAGTCATTATTCATTCGCTTTATCATCGTGAATGAGTGGAGAGTTAAGTTGCATCACAACTGGTTTGAAAGTGGCGACTGCCACTAGGAAAGTAAAATGCGCTAATCATATGCAAATGTCGGAGACAGTGAAAAGGCAGCTACATATTCACACAAGTTCTTCAAAGAATCTTCACACTGCTGACTCACTCTCTCTGGGCAGCACTGTGATGCTGATGCCAGGGTCACTTAGTTTGATGAATGGAGGGTTTCCCAATGTCCTGTCCTCCTCCCTGATCAAAAGGATGTTTTTTGCACACACATTCCCATGAGCCAGATTCTTCTCTTCCTGTGTGTGAAAGAAGAAAAAGCTTTAGTCAATTCTGGCTCGCAAACCCACATGGTTATTCCTGATTTGTTGCTGTTTCTTACCAAAAAGAGCATAGCCCAGGCAAGCTGCTTGGCCACTTCCAGCTTCCACAGAATATTAACTGATATTGAGTTCTTGTTTTTCCTTAGGTACGTGTCCAAGGACCCAAACTTCACATATTCCTGCACCATGATATCTAAGACAAAAAACCCACAACTTCAAATATGCGGTAGTAAATCATTTTGGTCACATGTGAGCAATGTGAACACTTACTCTCCTCTCCGCACACACAGATACCGTAGGTCAACACCAGATGCTTGTGGGTGAGCTGGCTCATCATGCTGGCTGCCTCAAAGAAAGACTTGGAGGAAGAAAAAAAATGTAAGAAACCACATGGTAAATGGTTAATCAAGCACAAACAAGTTTATTTCCTGCAGCTAGACTGAGACATGTCAACTCTTATTATGAAATTTGATGATAAAGGGATAATTTCAAGGAAAAATTATAGTTTAGATGACTTGAAAAATGGGGTGTCTAAAGTCATATGAAACGTTAAGACACTTAACAGTTTAATTAGTTTTTTTAAATTCAGGAAGTCTCAATTCAATTCCAAAATGATTCCAGAAACGGGGGCATATTTCACCTTACATTTATGTGGAACACTTTGAAGAAACCTTCTCTTGAAACAAGAAATTTCATCTATATCTTACCTCAGAGTAATTTCTGTGGGCTTTGTCCAAGACTTTGACAATGACTTCAGTCTTATGGGTTTCTCCGTAGTCTCCCTGCTCTTTCCGAATCCCTTTGAAGATCTTGGTGAAAGTCCCCTGACCTTGACTCTCACCCTGAAAACAATGTTGCACACACATAATCATATGCAACTTGACATTTACAATACTGTTCGAAAGTTTGGGGCCAGAAAGATATTTGAATGTTTTAGAAAAAAGTCTCTTATTCTAATTAAGGCTGCATTTATTTAATCTTACATTTAAACTTACTGTTTCTATTTTTATATTATTTTAAAAATGTAATTTATTCCCATGATGACAAAGCTGAAGTTTCAGCATCCATTACTCCAGTCTTCTTTGTCACATGATGCTTCAGAAATCATTAGAATACGCTGATTTGTTGCTCGGGAACATTTCTTATTATGAATTTTGAGAATAGTTATTTATTATTTAAACAATATTTCTGCGCAAACTGTGCTTTTTTCAGTATTCTATGATAAATAGTAAATTCAGAGAAGATAATTTTTAAAAAGAACATTTATTTGAAACAGAAATCCTTTTTAATATTATACATTTCTTTACTGTCACCTTTTCAATTTAATGCATCCTTGCCGAATAAAAATATTTATTAATCCAAGTTTATGAATTGTTATGCTTTTATTGGACTTAAATTAGTTATGTTATGCTAAAACTAATTGAAAGCTAACTCTTCGCTGTCATTTTTCTTATAGCACTTGGGAACGTTTATTTGTGAGGTAAGTTTAAGACTATAGATACTACTTGTTGTTTCACATTTTAGTAGATTGATTTTATGCTAGCATACCACTAAAAACTCTCAACCTAGAGTTTTCATTTTGATTCAGCAATTGTCTTTCTCTGTATCCACCAGATCCAGTGACTTCAACAGCAGCTTTAATGACGTCCAATCCCCTGCAGAAGATTCAACCCGACCGCAGGACCTGCTCGGCCCGGAAGCTTTGGTTGCCTTCTTCCTATTGCTCCTCCTCGTTTGGTTCCTAAACCGTGAGTTCGAGGTGAACTACCGTCTACACTACCACGGCAACGTGGAAGCAGACCAGCACCGCATAAAGATCCAAAACATGCGGGACCAGGCCGACTGGCTCCTGCGCAACATCATCCCCATCCACGTGGCCGAGCAGCTGAAGGTGACCCAGAGCTACTCGAAGAACCACGACAACGTGGGCGTCATCTTCGCCAGCATCGTCAACTTCAGCGAGTTCTACGAGGAGAGCTACGAAGGCGGGAAGGAGTGCTACCGTGTCCTGAATGAACTTATCGGGGACTTCGACGAACTCTTGCGCAAATCTGACTTTTCAAATATCGAGAAGATCAAGACGATTGGCGCCACCTACATGGCGGCGTCGGGGCTCAATACACAACAGTGTAGCGATCAAGCCCATCCGCATGCCCACCTGCGAGCGCTCTTCCAATTTTCTTTGGAAATGATGCACGTGGTGGACGACTTTAATAAAAACATGCTTGGCTTTAAGTTCAAGTTGCGAATCGGGTTCAACCACGGACCTCTTACCGCTGGAGTCATCGGTACCACAAAGCTACTCTACGACATCTGGGGCGACACGGTGAACATCGCAAGCCGGATGGACACGACTGGCGTGGAGTGTCGCGTTCAGGTTAGCGAGGAGAGCTACTGCGTGCTCAGTGGAATGAACTACGAGTTCGACTACCGTGGTACCGTCAACGTGAAGGGCAAGGGTCAAATGAAGACCTACCTTTACCCGAAGAACTCAGACAGCATACAGAAACTATTGAACATAGGTTATATACAAAATAATAAAATAAAAAAAGTGATCCCACAGGGTTGTTGGTGTCTACCTTGCCAAGCTGCTGCAGGAAAATGAGATGTCTCTCCTCGAACTGCACTAGATCCTCATTCTGAAATGCTCCAGTACTCAACGCAGATGATCCTGCTCTACTGGGTAAAATGTCGCTCTCCTTCACAATCTCATAATCTGCAAACACATTTCATCACTCAACATTATGCAGCAAGTCCAAGAGAAACAACACAATTAAATTGTGACATGTCAAAATGCCAGCGGGATTGCGTGTATTATAGAGTGACTGTACTGACCTGGGCAAAAGAGACTGTTGAGGTCTCGTATGATGGCTCTGAATGAAGGTCTGAATGTTGGCTCGTAGTCCATGCAGCTGTTGATCAGGTTAGCCAGCTCTGTCCACTTGGGAGCAGATAGCTGGTGACGATTTTCATAGAACAAATGCTTCTGAATAGAGGAATACAAAGATGGTGTACTTTGAGAGGTCCGGCTTATTCTTTTAACAGCACTTCTTACTACAAACAGGTTTTTCTGATTTATATTTATTGTATTAGTATACTGAGGACACAAGTGTTGCTTTACCTTGGAACTGTCCATGTTGGCAAGTGGTTTTTCTCCTCCGCTGCAAATCTCCCATAAAGTTGTACCAAAGCTCCATTTGTCTGAGGCAAGACTCAGGCTTTTAGGGTCTAAGATGCATTCAGGGGGCACCCAGGGGATCCGCTCCACCAGAACTACAAAAATATTTGCAATTCATTTAAAATGACATTTTGAATGCAAACATTTTGATCAAATGTGAATATGAATTATCTATTACCTAATGAGACCACTGGTCGGCATAAATATGAACAATTTTAAACTATCAGCATGGGGAAAATAAATTCTCCCATTTGGCCTCGTTCCTTTCTTTAATTCAGTTTTAGGGCACAATTTGAATAAATGTGTTAAAGTTTATATAATGTGGTAAATTTAATTTAGCAAATAAAATGTACCATGTTTATTTAAATGTTATTTGCATTCATTAAATTATGTGGTGATATAAAAGTTGTCATAATATTGGGCATTGGACACCCACATTGGTTGACCATTACATGTAATAGAATACATTTGGACCATATTAACAACAAATTTTCAAGGGAAAGTTCACATCAAAATTTAATCAACCTCATGTTGTTTCACTCAAACCCGTATGACTTTTTCTTCTGTGGATTTTTTTTTTGTCCATACAATGAAATTCACTGGGGTTCAGTGTTGTTTTGGACCTCAATAATTGTCACTGAGTGGACAAATACATTGTGTGGAGTTAAAACATTCTACAAAATATTTTTATTTCTATTTCATATAAACAATGTCATACAGAACTTGGTGCAACAAGAGGGTGAGTGCATGACCAAACCATCCCTTTAATAATGCACTGCAAACAGGAACAATTTTATTTGAAAATATGCCCTCTACTGGTTAGTGTGCAAACATGTTTATGCTAAACCAGTTTTAGCATTGACAGTCTACATCATAGTATCTTGAAAAGTATTTTGTTTTGTTGCTTAATTTGAATTTCTCTTGTTATTTACCTCGAATTACATTAATTTGTTTTGAAATTCATTCATTTTTTACTACCATTTTTCAGTCTGAGGTAATAGCAATTAGCAATTCTTTTCATTAAGCACACACACACACACACGTTTGTTTCACTGTAGTGAGAACATTGCATGGACTTCCATTGATTTTATACCAGGTTAATGATACTTTCTATCCCCTAACCAAACCCCTACCTCTAATCCTACCCTCACAGGAACATATGCAAAACACTAGATTTAAATAAAAACATGTTAGTCTGATTTATAAGCCTTTTTAACTAGTGAGTACCAGTAAAATGTCCTCACTAGTGTACGGTCATATTATTTCACTATAGGATATTCAGCCCTCAAAAGTATAGTTAAACAAGTACACACAAACACACACCTTCTTATCAGAACATGGTCTAATCCGATTACATTCTTATACTGAAAAAAACTAAAGCAAAAAGCTGCCTTTTCACTATCTCTGACAATCAACAGACTGGAAGTCATTGATTTGTAATGGACAATACCATGGGAGCTGCGTGGAGTTCTGTTTATATGCACATGCAAAATGTTTGGATCTGATTTGAGTTTCGGATACATTGAAATATTTGCATAACTGCATAACATATTTAAACTGCATGTGACCGCCAGAGATTAGTGATGAACAATTTGAGCATTTCCACAATTTTTTCCATTAAATTGCTACACTTTTTCTATCAAACGTGTGGATATTAAAATTTATGTTCAAAATAATTATTTTATAATTGCCAATTAATTACATTGATTAGCATTAGAAAATCTACAATGTTTTTATTTCAGACGTATTGGCAGCCATTTGTTTTGTGTGGATATACTCCTTCAGTCATTATTCATTCGCTTTATCATCGTGAATGAGTGGAGAGTTAAGTTGCATCACAACTGGTTTGAAAGTGGCGACTGCCACTAGGAAAGTAAAATGCGCTAATCATATGCAAATGTCGGAGACAGTGAAAAGGCAGCTACATATTCACACAAGTTCTTCAAAGAATCTTCACACTGCTGACTCACTCTCTCTGGGCAGCACTGTGATGCTGATGCCAGGGTCACTTAGTTTGATGAATGGAGGGTTTCCCAATGTCCTGTCCTCCTCCCTGATCAAAAGGATGTTTTTTGCACACACATTCCCATGAGCCAGATTCTTCTCTTCCTGTGTGTGAAAGAAGAAAAAGCTTTAGTCAATTCTGGCTCGCAAACCCACATGGTTATTCCTGATTTGTTGCTGTTTCTTACCAAAAAGAGCATAGCCCAGGCAAGCTGCTTGGCCACTTCCAGCTTCCACAGAATATTAACTGATATTGAGTTCTTGTTTTTCCTTAGGTACGTGTCCAAGGACCCAAACTTCACATATTCCTGCACCATGATATCTAAGACAAAAAACCCACAACTTCAAATATGCGGTAGTAAATCATTTTGGTCACATGTGAGCAATGTGAACACTTACTCTCCTCTCCGCACACACAGATACCGTAGGTCAACACCAGATGCTTGTGGGTGAGCTGGCTCATCATGCTGGCTGCCTCAAAGAAAGACTTGGAGGAAGAAAAAAAATGTAAGAAACCACATGGTAAATGGTTAATCAAGCACAAACAAGTTTATTTCCTGCAGCTAGACTGAGACATGTCAACTCTTATTATGAAATTTGATGATAAAGGGATAATTTCAAGGAAAAATTATAGTTTAGATGACTTGAAAAATGGGGTGTCTAAAGTCATATGAAACGTTAAGACACTTAACAGTTTAATTAGTTTTTTTAAATTCAGGAAGTCTCAATTCAATTCCAAAATGATTCCAGAAACGGGGGCATATTTCACCTTACATTTATGTGGAACACTTTGAAGAAACCTTCTCTTGAAACAAGAAATTTCATCTATATCTTACCTCAGAGTAATTTCTGTGGGCTTTGTCCAAGACTTTGACAATGACTTCAGTCTTATGGGTTTCTCCGTAGTCTCCCTGCTCTTTCCGAATCCCTTTGTCACTGAGTGGACAAATACATTGTGTGGAGTTAAAACATTCTACAAAATATTTTAATTTCTATTTCATATAAACAATGTCATACAGAACTTGGTGCAACAAGAGGGTGAGTGCATGACCAAACCATCCCTTTAATAATACACTGCAAACAGGAACAATTTTATTTGAAAATATGCCCTCTACTGGTTAGTGTGCAAACATGTTTATGCTAAACCAGTTTTAGCATTGACAGTCTACATCATAGTATCTTGAAAAGTATTTTGTTTTGTTGCTTAATTTGAATTTCTCTTGTTATTTACCTCGAATTACATTAATTTGTTTTGAAATACATTCATTTTTTACTACATTTTTCAGTCTGAGGTAATAGCAATTAGCAATTATTTTCATTAAGCACACACACACACACAGACGTTTGTTTCACTGTAGTGAGAACATTGCATGGACTTCCATTGATTTTATACCAGGTTAATGATACTTTCCATCCCCTAACCAAACCCCTACCTCTAATCCTACCCTCACAGGAACATATGCAAAACACTAGATTTAAATAAAAACATGTTAGTCTGATTTATAAGCCTTTTTAACTAGTGAGTACCAGTAAAATGTCCTCACTAGTGTACGGTCATATTATTTCACTATAGGATATTCAGCCCTCAAAAGTATAGTTAAACAAGTACACACAAACACACACCTTCTTATCAGAACATGGTCTAATCCGATTACATTCTTATACTGAAAAAAACTAAAGCAAAAAGCTGCCTTTTCACTATCTCTGACAATCAACAGACTGGAAGTCATTGATTTGTAATGGACAATACCATGGGAGCTGCGTGGAGTTCTGTTTATATGCACATGCAAAATGTTTGGATCTGATTTGAGTTTCGGATACATTGAAATATTTGCATAACTGCATAACATATTTAAACTGCATGTGACCGCCAGAGATTAGTGATGAACAATTTGAGCATTTCCACAATTTTTTCCATTAAATTGCTACACTTTTTCTATCAAACGTGTGGATATTAAAATTTATGTTCAAAATAATTATTTTATAATTGCCAATTAATTACATTGATTAGCATTAGAAAATCTACAATGTTTTTATTTCAGACGTATTGGCAGCCATTTGTTTTGTGTGGATATACTCCTTCAGTCATTATTCATTCGCTTTATCATCGTGAATGAGTGGAGAGTTAAGTTGCATCACAACTGGTTTGAAAGTGGCGACTGCCACTAGGAAAGTAAAATGCGCTAATCATATGCAAATGTCGGAGACAGTGAAAAGGCAGCTACATATTCACACAAGTTCTTCAAAGAATCTTCACACTGCTGACTCACTCTCTCTGGGCAGCACTGTGATGCTGATGCCAGGGTCACTTAGTTTGATGAATGGAGGGTTTCCCAATGTCCTGTCCTCCTCCCTGATCAAAAGGATGTTTTTTGCACACACATTCCCATGAGCCAGATTCTTCTCTTCCTGTGTGTGAAAGAAGAAAAAGCTTTAGTCAATTCTGGCTCGCAAACCCACATGGTTATTCCTGATTTGTTGCTGTTTCTTACCAAAAAGAGCATAGCCCAGGCAAGCTGCTTGGCCACTTCCAGCTTCCACAGAATATTAACTGATATTGAGTTCTTGTTTTTCCTTAGGTACGTGTCCAAGGACCCAAACTTCACATATTCCTGCACCATGATATCTAAGACAAAAAACCCACAACTTCAAATATGCGGTAGTAAATCATTTTGGTCACATGTGAGCAATGTGAACACTTACTCTCCTCTCCGCACACACAGATACCGTAGGTCAACACCAGATGCTTGTGGGTGAGCTGGCTCATCATGCTGGCTGCCTCAAAGAAAGACTTAGAGGAAGAAAAAAAAATTAAGAAACCACATGGTAAATGGTTAATCAAGCACAAACAAGTTTATTTCCTGCAGCTAGACTGAGACATGTCAACTCTTATTATGAAATTTGATGATAAAGGGATAATTTCAAGGAAAAATTATAGTTTAGATGACTTGAAAAATGGGGTGTCTAAAGTCATATGAAACGTTAAGACACTTAACAGTTTAATTAGTTTTTTTAAATTCAGGAAGTCTCAATTCAATTCCAAAATGATTCCAGAAACGGGGGCATATTTCACCTTACATTTATGTGGAACACTTTGAAGAAACCTTCTCTTGAAACAAGAAATTTCATCTATATCTTACCTCAGAGTAATTTCTGTGGGCTTTGTCCAAGACTTTGACAATGACTTCAGTCTTATGGGTTTCTCCGTAGTCTCCCTGCTCTTTCCGAATCCCTTTGAAGATCTTGGTGAAAGTCCCCTGACCTTGACTCTCACCCTGAAAACAATGTTGCACACACATAATCATATGCAACTTGACATTTACAATACTGTTCAAAAGTTTGGGGCCAGAAAGATATTTGAATGTTTTAGAAAAAAAGTCTCTTATTCTAATTAAGGCTGCATTTATTTAATCTTACATTTAAACTTACTGTTTCTATTTTTATATTATTTTAAAAATGTAATTTATTCCCATGATGACAAAGCTGAAGTTTCAGCATCCATTACTCCAGTCTTCTTTGTCACATGATGCTTCAGAAATCATTAGAATACGCTGATTTGTTGCTCGGGAACATTTCTTATTATGAATTTTGAGAATAGTTATTTATTATTTAAACAATATTTCTGCGCAAACTGTGCTTTTTTCAGTATTCTATGATAAATAGTAAATTCAGAGAAGATATTTTAAAAAGAACATTTATTTGAAACAGAAATCCTTTTTAATATTATACATTTCTTTACTGTCACCTTTTCAATTTAATGCATCCTTGCCGAATAAAAATAAAAAAAATAAAAAATCGGTAACACTTTCTATGAAGCCCGTATTTATAATACATTATAAGGGTATTCTTAAGTCATTATAATGAATGCATAATGCATTATAAAAAAAACGTATAATATGTTATATCAACTCATGAATAATCATAACAATTATAATACATCATAATACTTACGTATTTGTGGTTATAAGTTTAAGAGTATGATTATTTATAACACACAATGAACACCATATTAAATCTACTTCATTTACAGTATAATGGACTGTATCATATCTTGACATTGTTTATTTAAGATCTGCACAGTATCTTACTACATCTTGTGAGTGGTTAGATGTTGAGTGTTATTTGAGTGTTTCCTGTGGAGCTAATGTTAATTAAGTGATGTGAGCTTAATACTCCAACTGAAAAAAATGCAATGTTTTATATGGTTACATTTTATTTTTTTTATCCCCTTAATCAATCGACTATAAGCAACTTTGCAACTACATGCCAACTAACTCTCATTAGAGTATTAGTATGCTCAAGAATGGTAGAATCTAGTATGGTAGAATAAGTTGACGTACTTGCAAAGACACTTTATAGTCAGTTTATCTGTTGGTTGACCATCAAAATAAAGTATTAGCAAATATTTACAGTAGCAGACATACTAATACTCGAATGACCGCTAGTTGATATGTAGTTGCAGAGTCACTTATCAACAGCTGTTTAAAGGGTACCATCAAAATAATCAAACAATTGATATTACAATAAAAATAGTTCAAAGCAAATGTGTCATATTACACATTCATCTGATCTGATATCTGATCTTATGGCTGTTTGAGAGAAAAAAATGTTGTTGTTGTTATTATTATTATTATTATTATTACTACTACTACTACTTATAAGTGGTCTTTGACCGCTTTAAGTAAAGTAGCATAAGGAAAATGGCAAGATATGAGACTTATAA